CCACCAAAAGCTCGAAAAGCGAAAAGTATGAATTAAGGCAGTGCGCCTCTGTGGGAAGTTTTGCTGCATTCAGCTAATCGCTGGGGCAATGCAGCTGCAGTATGGTATTTGAATTGCCGCCGAGCATTGAAGGTCGTGCAACTCGCCTCAAATTGTCCATTCGAAGCCTTCCCAGGCATATAATTTAGCTCCACATGGAAAAAGTGCTTGGACAACGCCGTGGAACTGCTACGTCGTAATTGTTCGGGCATGCGCATGCACGATGTATGCTTTCAGAGCATGGCAATGCTGAGCACTGTCATGGCAACTACTATGAAGCTTGGGAAGGCGACGGCGGCTGAGCCTGTGATAGCTGATGATATCTTGTTCCATTCTTCTTGTCTGCAACAGCAGCATAGGGGAGATAAAACGCACGACTTTGCAGCCTAGGCCTGGTAGGAAAAACAAACGTTGTAGCCTAGATCTCGTAAGGCATGATGTGACCGCAGGAAGGGAGACTAAAAAAGGAACTTACGTGAAGGGAGCCTTGTTATCCACGAGTATATCAGGCGTGGTCATGCAGATGAATATGAAGGCCTGGCGGTTTTGCGACTCGGGTCCACTCCTTCCCTCCGCAACAACCTCAGTGCAAGTAGCAAGTCTGCAGTCTGCAGTGGCGCCGCTCGAAGGATTGTACATGGCCACAAAGGAAACGTTGAGCTTGTCCTTGTAAACCTCTACGTTCGCGCTGTATGTTGGCGGGAGCCCCTCGAAGTTCTTGTGCGCTCCCTTCCAGTGGTCCACTGTTTCACTACAGTCGACTTTTGAAGAACTTAAGATATTAAACGCATAAGTGCCTTCTTCGAAATCGCTGATTGCCTCACGGCTAATTCTCGTCGCACCTTCCTGAACAAAAAACGGTGTAACGAGTACCGAATGCTGATTTGGCAGGAAAGGGCAAATCCGGCCCCTTGGAATAAACGAGGGAAGAAGAAACTTACGCTGAGCAAATCCTTGCAAAGAGGATCCCAGGCAGCCTTGGTTGTATCCAGAGGGAGCCGCTTTTTGGGTTCATCTGCAGTTGGTTGGACGAATTTTTCAAGCCCAGCAGCTTCACGAGCCTCGTCGATTTCAGTGAGGCATTCGCCTTCTTTCCCTGCACGGACATACGCAACGCAACATAAACATCCTCCTGGGCTCTTGTATAACACTTCGCATAACATTTTTTCGCACAGCCGGAAGGACATGTTTCGAGTTTGTCACAGTGAGCTCTTTGACGGGGTCACTGAAGGAGGACTTCCGCTCATTCGTCAAGCTGCGTTTGACACCAAGTGATTGAGCTGAACCTTGACCCACCAAGAGTAACCGTGTATGTTGTTAGGCCCTCCCCATTCTGAGCAGATGAGAACGTTGCAGAGCCCAAGGCCAGCAAGGCGCCCGCGACGGAGAGAATCATGGAAGGTGCCATTGTAGTGGTGTTAGAGTTAGAATATCACCCTCAACAAGAGCTCAAGAAAAATAAGAAGAAAGGCAATGGGCCGAAGCAAAGTATATAAAGAGGCACAAAAGTGAACACCGCTGTAGGGCTGAGGTCGCCACTGCGCAAGCTGGCCAGCGAGCGGAACCTCGAGCAGCACGCCGCAACCGAGCTAGCTAAAGCGCGAATGTACAGATGCAGAGCACCCGGTCACAAAATCTGCGTGAATATGTGAACAAATTTGTTTTCACCATTATTTATATACTTTCGAGCAAAGATAGTTTAGTCCGTAAGATAATAAGTGCCTTTGTGCGCCACGTGGTCTGAGGTCACTTCGGCCGCCTCGAGAGCACACGACGTGCGGTGTGCGCGGTGTCACGCGCCACCCGTTTACGCTACGCGTGAGGCTCTGCAAAGTTAGCAACATTGTAATCGTTTTAATGTTGTTCCAGTTATTTTGTCTGATTGGAAACACATTTCCTGATTCACTGGCGGCCTCATCCAGCTCGGGGGTATTAGGTGTAGAGGGTGTAGTGCACAGTGACCCTTTGCTGTCACCACGTATGAACCCTAAGCTGTATAGCTGAGCACACACACCGCTACTAGGGATCTAAACTCGTAATTCTCACTACTCTCACTATAATATCCGTTAACTATTCAAAAAGCATTCGAGTTCCTGATTTCTTCCTGGAGGAACTCTTCAGAAAAGTAGAACTGCCCCCTGACCCTCGTTGAGCGTCAGTATCAGCGTCACAGCTTCAGCCTCACACCCAGCCCCCAAGCCGGTGCCGGCTGGTGAGCACTTGGATCCTTTTATGCCTCTTTTCTTATGTAAAGATGTTCTAACTCCTGAGCTATTCTATAGTATTTAAACGTTTTCATGATACTAGGCCCCTAGAGGCCACACAGAGGAGCTATTGCAGTTCCCGTGCACTACATTAGGGCACAGCTGAGTACCCTCTTCCCATCCGAGTCACTTGGAGAATTTTTAAGATTGGAACTGCCCACCCCCTAGTCTTTATGATACGCTTTAAAGTTGCACAGACGAAGCAGCGGTTCACTTCATTACTTCTTCGAACGGCAAAGCTTGACCCACCGCAGTTGTGTACCAGCGCCGAGGCAAAGCGGGTTCCAGAAGTGAGAAGTTCCTGTTCGTTCCTTTCAGTGTCTGCCTCGCACCCAATTTTGGATTCCCCCATCACTCCAAACAGACCAATTTTAATCCCCAGTGCTCCGTGGGCCTCTTCGCCGTTTCAGGCGAGCGTTAGTCCGCTGATTGTCTACACCGCATGAGCATTCCTGGCTTTGCGTGCGTGTACGTTTGCTGCGTACAGAAGACAAATGCTGAGTTGTACAACAATAGCAGCCAGTCCCTTATAGCACCACCAAGCCAACGCCGCGAGCTGCCAAGGCAAGACAAAGCGGATAGCTGAGGCAGAGCTAGCAAAGGCAAGTGCGACGTGTCCGTGCTGTCCTCCTCTGCAGAAGGCACCGATCAAACATGGAAGTCACAAACTAAGTGAAAGCTCTCTAAATCATTGGGAGCGTATTCCTTACACAAAAGCTCCCTGGAATGGCGTGTTTTCTCGTCTGTGGGGAACAACATCGGGTGGCCCCATGGACAGTTTTACGTTGTATTGCCCCACGGGGCAACATAAGCATTGATTGTAATGCTTATGTTGCAAGCAACAACTCGCCGGTTGCCTGATATACCGGCTAAAGCTCTATACACAGTTGCGAAGGAGGCATCTTGGTTGTTGCATGCAACTGCTGGCTGTTTCGACCTGGAGTTGCAACGCCTGCACCAGGTTGGGTAGCAGCTATGAAGACCAGCTTTTCGTGCCTTCTTCCATGCATCTATATACAGTACCGCCAGGTTTTCAACACATTCAGCTTCAACTGATTGGTACGCTCGTCCAGGGGCCTTGCCTCCACAATGTACTGGAAAGTATGGTATTTTGCTGCTGCAATGCTACCGATTCCGCTCTACCCATTGTATTGATGTCCAGAAAAGCATTAAATGCCCGCATATTTGATTCCGCAGGACCTCGTCTGTCAGAAGAGTGCACTCCCGCGTCGAAAGTTTACAGCGGTCGACTCCACTGCAACATTGGCAAATTTCGGCGACCGCAGACTCTTGGCTTCGTCAATGTGCCAAAAAGACAAAACCAGAATCGCATGCTGTTGAATGCACAGACGCTATGAGTCAATGAATGATCCAACCACTTGAAAAAATGGTGAGAAGGCTCGTAAAGGCACATTAATCCCACCGGAACTCATCTTGTGTATTTCAATGCCCCTCGCGCTATTGGTTGCTAGGTGTTCCAGCGAATTCCCACCCGCCTTGGGCATCTGCTGCGTAGTCAAGTTATTTGAGAGTCATTCATGCCCGTGTCAGGTGAGAGCCGCCTGCGCCTACGAAGAAGTACGGACTGCAACTCTCGCCCCTTCCGATCTTCTGAAGGTGATGGGAGGGTTTCCGTCACCTCAGCTAGGCGCAACAGCCCGCAGCACGTTGATCGAGGCATTGCGACTTGTTATGCTCCTCTCCACGTTCGGGCGCCTGTTTAGACAAGGGAGCATCTCTGACGAGTAGATAGGACTCGCAAACAATATTCTGCTTCTCATAGCACCGATAAAGCAACTGCGAGCGCTGCTGCAGTAAGGCTGAGGAGACTGGGCAAGACAGCCGGGGCAGAGCCTTCGAAGGCGGTGACGATCTGCCCCCACTGCCCTTCCCTGCGCAGCGCACATCGACAGAGCAGAGAGTAGCCATGCAAGAGTGCACAAGGGAGGCAGAACCAGCAATAGTTTTTCTGTGGAGCAAAGGCTCACGTAAATGGAGCTTTGCTTCCGTCTACGGGAAGCACGTCAGGCGTTGTCATGCATATCAGAGCATATCCATTTGCTTCAGTTGCGGTTGTTCCTGTCTTTTCTCTGTTTTGCTGCTGAGTTGTAGTCTTTCTGGTGCAGGTGACGACTCGGCAGTCTGCAGTAGCGTCGGAAGAGGGGTTGTGCATGGCCACAAAAGAAACATTCTCTTGACTGCTGTACGCTTGCTCTTGTTCGCTGTATGGTGGCGGTAATCCGTTGAAGTTATTGTAGGCTGTCTTCCATTCTTCCACTATGTCACTGCATCTGGGGGTTTCGGACTCTAGGGCCTTGAATGCGTATGTTCCGCTTGCGAACCTATCAATTGTAGCGACAACGACGGGCTCTGATTCGTCGCTGGTCTTCTGAAGACAGCATGACAGCAAGGTGTTTGGTGATAATCCACAAAGGCTGCAAGCTGCCAAAGATAGAGACAATCATAAGACTGGATAACATACTGGAAGCAAGAATTCGCAAACGGGCTTCCATGCTGAAGCGTGATAGTCCTCTTCACTTTTGTTGTCGAATGCAGCTGGCAGGTGTTTCCCCTCTTCTGCGACATTGGCCTTCAAGAAACTGCTGAAGCCAACTGCCTCGCGAGCAGCATTGATTTCAGTGAGACACTCTCCTTCACTGCCTGTAGGCGGAGAAANAAGCCAACTGCCTCGCGAGCAGCATTGATTTCAGTGAGACACTCTCCTTCACTGCCTGTAGGCGGAGAAACGCAAGACGAAGTAGAAATACCCACGATTTTCTGGAGGTAGCGTTCCTGGGCTGAACAGAAGTACTTCGAATTCGAGACAGCGTCCCGAGTCGCTTCACTGGACGCTGGATTGTGAAATGTGGGAGACTCCGCACCGTAAGTTGTTTCAACACTTGGAATGCCGTAACGCACCGAGTTTCAGGGAGTAGGTCGTTGCGACGCTCGTACCGGCGTCGCCGCCGTCAGGATCGTTGGCCTCGACGAAGAGGAAAAGGGAGGCACTAACGAATGTGAGCAGCATGAGAGGCGCCATTTTGCCTGTGCGAGTGGAATGTGTCAACTTGAGTTTTACTTGCACTTAGTACGTTAGACCTTTGCGCAGTGGATGACCCCCTGATTGCGACACTGCCATGGGGAGTCGGCGGCGCTGAGGCTTCGGCCTTAGCGTGCGCTACAGACCTTGTACTGCCCCCCCCACAAAACCAGCCCAAATGGGACAACAAGTGAGGCATTTATTGAAATTATTATTAAAGACAAGCTGTGTGGAGATATTTAG